TTCCTTCCTGGTTCCCTCCCACCCCTTCCCTTCTTTTCCCCAGTGCAGAAGGATGTTTTGCAGAAATAGAGAGGAGAAACCAGTTCTGATTAAATTACTGTGAAAACATGATTCCTTCAAAAAAATTTTTTTCTTTTTTTTCTTTTGATAGTTCACAATGCACATGTTCATTTTAAAGCACATCTGCTCCATGTGAATTGGCATTTATGCAACTGCTTTTTATCTTCAGAAGCATGGTTCAGGAGTTAATGAAATCTTCAGTCCTTGTCTGCCCCTAGGCTGCAGTACAACACTATTTTATAGATGGGGAGAAAGATCAAAATAGCTTCTTAAAGCTAAAGCAGGTGAAGATTTCTAAGGATAAATGGTGGATGTCTCGTTTGTTTTTGTTTTGTTTTCAGTTGAAAACTGTATCAGTCAACACTTATACTGGCTGGCAGTTTGGTCCCTTGGTAGTGTTTCTGAAGTTATTTGTTTATACACCTTTTTTTCCCCTGAGAATCTGTTTAGCTATGAGCTGTTTATCACTCAGTGGCTCTCTCACTATGTGCATAAGCGCAAGCATCTTAGATAGACTTTGACAGCCATATTGGCCTTCCTAACTGTCTGCCCTTTTCTATACTACTTGCAGGTGAAGCCGTGTTTGCACGGTGCCTGTCTTCCCTCAAGGATGAGAGACTACAGGCCAGTAAGCTGTTGCATGGGCCTAAAGTGACTCAGTTCAGTGGGAACAAAAAGGCCTTTCTGGAGGACATACGCAAGGTGAGTCATAGTGCCCTGCCTGCTGCAGTGCTCTATTAGACTTGTAGAGATCAAAGCAGGTTTTGGATGCTGTAAACTCTGGCAGGGCATAAATCTGAACAACTCTTGCATTTCCCTTTCATGACAGTTGTTTTCTGCATTTCTCCAAACCAAAGTGTATTGTCCAGTGCTGACACACACTGCAGAATGTGACCAATTCTTTTACTGATAGGGGAACATCCTGAAGGAATTCAAATCCCACAGTGGACATTGACAGCTAACTGGGATGCAGAGATTGTAATTCATGCACAGCAGCTCGCTTTTTCCCCCTGCAACATTCCTGCCATTGAAATGAGAATAATATATTTTGATCTCTATCAGCTGAGACAAAACTTTCCAATAATTGGAAAGGACATGTAGCTCCTCCTGTAGTATTTGCACGTTGAGGGAGGGGGAAATTGCCAGTAAAAGGCTCTGGGAGTGAAAGTATAGTCTTTTTGAGTCCCTTTCTGCATTTACAGGATAGTACTACAACGTCAACAAATTTTGACTAAAAGCAAGTTCGATTAGGTTATTCATCGGCATTTAGGTGTTAGTTAGGATTCCTATTAAAACAAGATAGAATGTGTGAACATTTTTCCCCTTCTAAAGTTTACCCATCTGATTTTCAGGAGAGATAAATCTATCTTGTATTGATCTTGATATGCCAAGGTTGCAGATAAAGAAAGTATCATCCTTTAAGTGATTTTTGACCAAAGACGTGGAAAATGGCCACTAAACTAAATCCTGCTAAGATACACACTAAGCAGAGCATGCAAACTTCTCATTCACCTTTGTGGACCTTTACTAAATTTGAATTTATTTTTCTAGGCCCTGTATGCTTCCAAGATTATCTCATATGCTCAAGGTTTCATGCTGCTCAGACAAGCAGCCAAAGAGTTTGGATGGACACTCAATTATGGTGGCATTGCCCTGATGTGGAGGGGAGGCTGCATCATTAGAAGGTAACTGGGACCAAGGGTGCTGATGGGGAGAAGAAGAGGTAATTTAGTTTATGTAGTGTTAGACTGACAAGCCTAAAAATTTTCTTGGAAAATCCTTGGAGTTAATCACCTGAAAAGACACTGAGAGACTGTTTCTGTAGTGAGCACTGAAGATTACCAATGAAGCTAATTTCTTGATGGCTTAACAGATTTTCTTTTGTTTTTGTTTTGTTTTCTTTTTTTCTGGTGTTTGGAATTTGAGTCTGGCTGAGTCAAATCTTGGCACTGTCATTTTTTGATTCTGGTCCACTGTTTAAAGCTATGAGATCCAATTCCTGGTTTGTATTTGTTCTGTCTAGTGTGTTCCTGGGAAAAATCAAAGATGCTTTTGATCGAAACCCTGAGCTCCAGAATTTGCTGTTGGATGATTTCTTTAAGACAGCTGTTGAAAACTGCCAGGTGAGTTTCCAACAAAGGAAAACCATTAAGAAAAAATAGTTTACAGTCTGGACTCCTTCAGCTTCTTTCCCAGACGTTCCTATCACAGATATATTTAGACTGAAGAATGAAAAGGCAGAGAGAACATCTTTGAAATCTATATATACAGCCTCCTTAATCCCAAAGATCTCTAATCCTTAAGATCTTTGAGGCTTTGTAGTGTATCCATACACACATAATACATTGGTCTGGGAATTAATTTAAATGTATCCTTGTGGAATAGAATATATCAGTCTGGCATGATCAGGGTAGGAAAGAAACCATATAGTTGGAGGTAGCTGAAATTGCACAAGGAAGTTACTGTAGTGAGATAAGATATACTGAGGTCCAAAGTAGAACTTTGCTAATGCCAGAGTTAGTGATCGGTCATTGAAAAAGTGCCTACAAATTCCAATTGCCAATGTTTCATCAGAAAGTTGGAGAATATTAGTTCTAAATAAAGAAAAGTTTTTCATCTCTGAAGTGCTATCTTATAAATCAGCATTCAGGGGCTTCAAGCTGTGAACTGAAATCTTGCTGGAATTATGACTTGGAGAGGATAATGCTTTATGAAAAAGAAATTATTCTCTTAATTTGTTCTTACATCTCAGATGTAACTGGTGTGCCTTGTACAAAGTTACAAGGTTTATTTGTGATGTCAATCTAAGAGTAATGCATGGGCAAGATAATACAGTCTGTGCCATGTCATGTTGCTTCTCTTTGATACCATCAGAGCTATCATTAGAGACTTAAAGGTTTTCATTTTACTATTTTTATGTAAGAGTATAGCAATTTAGAGGAAACGTAATGTCAGGAAAATCTGTCAAGTGTGTGTGAAAAGGTAGACTGTACCGGTCTTGTGCCAACTAAGTACTTGGATTTCAGTAGCACGGAAATAAAGCTCTGCTTCGTTACTGTTGTTTGTAGTAGCCTCAAACTAACAGTGTCCCAGAACCCCCATTCTAGACTAGGTCTGTCCAAAGAGTGTCCTGATTTGAGCAGCAGAGGACAGACAGAACCAAAAACAGATTATCTGGCTGACAAGACATTTTTTAGTGTTCATAATTCTTTTTACTGAAGCTGAATGCTCCATGCAAATTACTAAATCAGATGTGAAACTGAAATGAGGATTATCCACGTGTCTGTTTGAAGTAATGTGCTGACCTCTTATGCCTTTGGGCAGCCTTTGTGCTGTGCTTGATTAGATGTACTGAAAACACCTCACTGTTTGTTTAGTATCCTCTCCACTGTGTTCTCACAGTTCTTATTTTTGGGATGCATTGCTGATACTTATGTGAAAGAGCAGCATTCTTATCCTTGCCTGAGGTCGTGGTTTAATTGTGTGTGAAGTGTATGTCTGTACCTTGTCCTGTTTGCCAGTTCTGTCTTACTGGCCATTACTTTGAATCAATCTTTTCTGTGTGAAATTAGGCACCTGCTGCTATGCATTGGCTCAGACTTGGCCATTAGATCTTATACAATGTGGAGGAGCATCTGCTTTCAGGACAGAATAGTCTATATGCCTGCACATGGCTCTGAGACAACTGTGATTAGTTTCCACTTTTTCTCTCTTCCAGGACTCCTGGCGACGTGTAATCAGTACGGGAGTCCAGATTGGAATCCCTATGCCCTGCTTCACAACAGCACTTTCTTTTTACGATGGATACAGACATGAAGTGCTACCAGCTAACCTGATTCAGGTGGGTGTCTGAGAGAGTGTAGTAGAACTTTTGTGAGCTAAGGGTAATGATACTGAGGATTTGGGGGTTTTTTTGAGCATTTCGATCCTAGATCTTTGGGTATATGTCAGTACTTGTCTTTTAGATTAGTAATTAGCAGAATTAGTATACTTAGTATTTTTATTGATCCTCATAATAACTAGATATTAATAAATGTTTCATTGCATTATTTTTGCTAATAGATAAAGAGTAAGTTTGAATGTTATGTTATTGGAGCTAGATCTTCTAGTTTTCATATAGTTGAGTCTCAATAGATACAAGTTCTATTGCTTGTATGTGACTGGTGTTCCTGTGTGTGTTCTTATTCTAGGCTCAGCGTGATTATTTTGGTGCACACACGTACGAATTATTGTCAAAGCCAGGTGTATTTATCCATACTAACTGGACAGGTCATGGAGGAAATGTGTCCTCTTCTGCCTACAACGTCTAATGGAAATATTTCCGGTTGAAGCCAAGATACTGTAGATCTCAGATATCCCTCCTAGGATCCCTCCACTTTTTAATGTACTGTATTCCAACTTGCGTCTGGGCACTTTTGTATTAACTTGTGGGCATATGTCATATATATCATATAAAAAAGCTAAATAAACTTTCTTATGAATGTACTGAGATATTTTTTTCTCCTGCTGCTTGCCAAAACTGTCTAAAATGTCTTTATGCGATATTACATAGAATACATTTTAATTTGATAATATTTTTATTCTATTATAGTGCATAAGCTCATAGGGACCAAGATAGAGGGAACTGCATTTCAGTAACTGCTAGAGTGGAGAGAGTGACAGTCTGCACAGTAACACGAGAGACGATTCCAGGGAGGTAAAGGGCTTTGCTGTGCTGCTACTTATGTGTACCAGGAAGTAGCCTGGTTCCTGAAGTTTTAATTCCTGGGTACTCACCTGCACACACCTTTTCACACTATGAAATCTGTTTGTTTTCCATGAAAAGGTGAAGGGTGGGATGGATTGCAGAGAAACTTGAATGTAGATCTAGGGGGCAAAAATACTTTAAGAGGGATACTCCTGTCACCAAGCCATTTTGTGCTGACTGAAGTTCCCAGTCCATGCCCAAGGTTTAACTATTGTGTTACCAGAGTTCTGTTAAGTCTTTTTCTGATCGCGCTCTCCTTTTTGCCTTTTCCTGTCATGAGGCAACTGAAATGTCTGTAGTGGGATGCACACTTGACCCTGATTATTTGATATCCTTTCCCTCTGCTCCACCATCTATCATCCTTGGATTTGTCAAACTTCAGCTGGGTACTTGATCCTTTTTTTCCTAAAACATAAATGCTAAATTTTGGGCTGTGCTCTGATTTTTAAATTTTGGTCTATTTATTTCTGCTAAGGTACTCAGCTACTTAGTTATTTACTGAATGTCAGTCTGACTAGCAAAAGATTAGTTTCAAATTAAAGCTTTTTTTTTTCTTTTTTTTTCCTCAGAATGTGGTGTTAGAGCTAGCACCTCCGCCAAACCCCGCTGCGCCGCGGGTGGCGGCGG